AGCATCGTGGCGGAGGAGGCAGTGTGGCATGTTCCTGCACGGTCTCAACGGTTGCGGGTGCCTTACGTGCCCAATGTTGGACAAGCCTCCCCTTGTGCTGACCTCTCACCTGGCCCTCAGGGCAGGTTACTCTGGGCTCAAGCCTTATTCCCTATCGCCTCCTCAACAGGAGTTTAGCTGCCAGTTGTCATCTGCCCCATCTCCATTTCTCCCCCTGTGTGGCTGGGCCCCGCAGTCCCTGCCCTCTTGGGCTGCCGACCCTGCACATCATCATCATCATCATCATCATCTCTCTGGCAAGTCTTTCAGTCCCTTCCTTCCTCCCACCCACCTCATGTAACCCACAGGGGGACCACCATGTACCTTTTCCCCTGCTTACCTATGTAGTACTGTCTAGCTCGCTCTTGACCGGTTGTTTCATAACTCACCCAGCATGCCCCCTCAATTAGCCCCTCCAGTTCTTCCCAAAGCCCCAGCCACTGGACCCTGCCTCCTTTGTTGTAGTTATGCTGTTCCTACCCCTGCCCCGCTCATCTTTCTGTCTTCCTTGTAACCTTCTCTGAAACCTTTTTCACACCCTTCATGTCACCACTCTGCTCTTGCAAGTGGTCTTTGCTGCTTCCTCTCCCTCAGCGTGTCCACCTCCCTCATCTGCTCTTTTCTGGTCCAGTTCTTTTTAAGTGCAGCAGCCCGCAGCTTGTGACTCACAAGGAGCCTGATGCCTGCAAAACTTCTGTGTTGTTTCAGCCACAGAAAGGCAGAAAGCAAAAATTGGCTGCTGAAGTGTGACACTAATGCTGGCCCTGGAATGGCGTTTACTTTTTGCTCTTGGGTCAGCCAAGACTGGGGACACACACCTCTTTTAACAGATTTCATCCTATTTTTCTAGCTTCTTGTCATCCTTCTGTCCAGGACCTAAGTGACGATTTTCTCCCTCCTCCTCATCTTCATCTTCTGTTCTCTAAGTCAAGGTCTGTCCCTCATGCCATCCCCTCAGATACTGCAGGCACTCCTTGCATTCTCAAAGCCATATATGGATACCAAAATGGTATCACCATAAATGTTTCTGTTTCTTGTCTAACTGTTTATGCCCCACCTGGTGCTACTCACAAAGTTTGCAAGGTATGCATCACAGCAGAAACCATTCCTACTTACTGTTTCTGATACAGTTAAGTAACTGGCAGGTAGGAATGTGAGAGGGAAATTGGAGAAATCCTTCCCTCTCCTTTTCAACTGTGTTTCAGTCACATTTGCAGTAGGTTTTTGTGGTGCAGTTTGGTGGGTTTGCCTTTAGTGTCAGTTGTTTGTATTGTCTGTCATCTTAGATTATAGTCCAGCTCTGAGCTCCTCTCACTCAGCTTGGGGAGTTCTGAATGGGCCTTCCAGAGGTACAAACTGCTCCCTACAAAGGACTTTTTCCTGGCTGGTGGTTTTCTGAAGAAAAGAATGTCATTTTCCACACCTCCTCCCCCCCCTCCCCCTGCCAACAGCATTTATAATATAAGGAAGAAGGTGGAGGGAAATGCTTTATGTCATTTTTTAGAGTTACCATGTGTTTATTGAGGTGGGTTCAACAGTGAAATCTTGCCACGTCTTAGATCGTGGGAGTAGATGTTTCTGTGCCGCTGCTTCCTCCTCTGGAGGGAGCTTTCTGGTAGCCACTGAGTTCACTTAGGAATGTGTTTCTACAAATGTTTTTTTGTTTTGTTTATGTTTGTTTTCTGTCCCCTGTGTCCCCCCCCATTGAAAGTTAAAACCAAGAGTGAATTATGGACTAAGCAAAAATGAGAGACGTGTCAGCCTACCAAGAAAGAGGGTTAAAGCATAAAGCACAAAAGAAACCAGGCATTTGACGAAAGTGCAGCTGATATTTCCCTTTGCGTTTAGCACTGTCTGGACTGCCTGGAAGCTCATAGTTTTGGGACAGCTGGGAAAGGCAGCTGGCAGAGTTCCAGCGCCGGGACACTTAGAGCAGCACAGCAGCAAGAACTCCCGATGGGGTTGAAGTCTTTCTTTGGTGTAGTTGTCTCACAAGTTTCTTTCTGAAACAAAAGGGTACGTTTTACGGATGAAAACAGAAGAGTGCATGTGCGTACATGCTTGTGGTTCTTGCTCATAGTTTTAGACGTCCACTTCCAGAAGCTCTTTCAGATGTGAGGTGGAACCCTGTATCATCTACGCATCAGTATGCTGAATGAGTTGATATGGATCTTGGCAAACAAGGGAAAAAGTTTTAACATTTCACAAGTACTTCAGAGTTTTGCTTTCTCTCTCGCTCTTCCCATATAGTTTGTCAAAATACGTAAATACATAAAATCAAAAATGTAAATGCACGCACACAGAAGTACATCTGTATTTGGCACATGCAGTTGTAAATGAGCAATACCTACTTGGCAGAGTATCTCTAATGGGGTTTCAAGTCAGTTTTAAAATGGGGACAGAAAATCACATAGTACATTAGGACACAAGTATGGACCAAATCCATGCTGTTTGCCCTAACTTGGTAAGGGCAACAGGAAGATAAGTTCTTGTAACATTGTCTTCTGTGCTGCTAAGCAAATAAGCGAGGTAAACACCTTGTAAACATGGTAAGTGATGACCCCTGCCCAGTATCCATGGGTTAGCATCACTAATCGCTGTGAGATGAGTCCCACACAGGAGCCACAGTATACTCTTGTGCCTTGTCAGCTTTATGAACAAGGGAGGGGGAAGGGGAAAAAAAACCTGATGCTGTATGCAACAATAACAGTTTTTAAAAATAAAATTAAAACAACAATGAAATGTTCCTTGTGACACAGCTAGTAGTACAAGTCAGGAGAATTACATTCGTTTGACTGAACCATTGTTTCTGCTGAGACTATGATTGCAGTAGAAGTCGATTTTGGGGGGTATAGAGGCTGCAGGAAAATTCATTGACAAAAACTGAGAAACTTTGAAGTGTTTTTCCCAATTACCCTTTTCCCCTCCCTTCCTCTTTTTCCCATCCTTATTTAGGCTAATAACCTTCCAAAAGCTATTGCAGCAGCTCACACGTTTCTTCTGAAGCATCCAGATGATGAAATGATGCAAAGAAATATGGCCTACTATAAGAGCATACCTGATGCTGAGGAGCATATTAAAGACTTGGAGACAAAGCCGTATGAGGTATGCTTTTTATTCAGTCTGGTCTTTTTGAACTGTTCTATTACTTCTCTTATTGTGTGAAATTCGGGGATCTCATTTGCTTACATGTTCTCAGTTCTTACTCTTCTTTCCCTCTTGCAATCTTCCTCAATCATCTCTGTTCTGCCTTCTTGATGCATTCAGTAATTCTCCCCTCTTGTGCTTTTCACTGTTCCATAAGTCACAGTACATCATGGACAGTGGCATACCTAAAAGGTACTATGTGCAGATCACTACTGGAGCTAAGCAGGTGCATAGAGTTATTCAAGTGCATAAGTGCTCTAGCAGCACAGTTTAAAATAACTAGGCCATTTGGCATTAAGATTCCATCGAAAATCTCTGTCAAAACCTGTGCTTTAGAATCACACTGTTCCTTTTGTCCAGTAAGTTTTTCTGTTGATTTGAAAAGGAATTACATACACTACTCTCTAGGAAATACCTGGTAAAACCCATTAGTCATCTGTATTTGTTGTCCTGATATTAATTGGATAACAGTTTATATAGTAATCCAGAAATGCAGATACATCATTTACTGTATTTGAATTTACACACAGTTTTACATAGATCAGTTACTGCTGGTTTTCATGCCTGCCAATTTTTCAGAATCTCTTTGTCAGGGCTGTGAGAGCATACAATGGTGACAACTGGAGAACGTCCATCTCTGACATGGAACTGGCTCTTCCTGATTTCTTCAAAGCCTATGATGACTGTACAGCAGCCTGTGAAGGCTCCCGAGAGATCAAAGATTTTAAAGACTTCTATCTCTCCATAGCAGGTGAATGGTTAGGAAACAGTAAGGAAAGATGTCCCAAAAGTGCATTTCAGTTTATCTGTAGGATTGGCTACCAAAGTCCTGTTCCTTGTTTTACAGTGTCAAATGCACGTGGTGTGCCCTGCTCAGTTTGGGCCATTGTGAGTTTATTAGATTCACTGAAAAGTGCTTGAATTCTGTTGTGTTTTTTTTTTTTTCTTTTAAACGTAACATAAATGAGGGCTGTCAGAAAATCAGAACAGAGAGTTCTTACATTAACATGGAAATTTAAGTGTGTGTCAGAATAAGAGAAGTGTAAGTAATAACAACTAATCCATCCAGCTTCCAGACAGATCTCTTGACCTCAATTTCAATATCACCTTTGAGGCTCAGTGATTAGGCTGCCTTCACAGTCGGCTTTGTGGTTTGTATATCACTGGAGAAACGTATCTCATAGATACGACAAGTTTCCTTTGCCTATTTTTCATCTTTCCTACAGTAGTGTTTTGCGAGCAGATAAGATTTTTTTTTTTTATCACGTACCTTAAAAAAAAAAAAAAATCCATTGCTTTGCAAAGAAAAAGAGACACACCTTTTTGATTGCTATCAAAGTGGCACGTACACGTTTCCTATGCTCTTTGGTAGTAAAAGAAACAAGTCATTTCTCCAGTGTTCTGGGCTCAGTGTTGTTACTCTTGGGCAAAGCAAGCAGGTGTCTAGGACAGCAGATAAGGAGAGACAGGTCTGGTAATTTCATTTGGCCAGTTATTTTTAATTAACTTCAGCGTCCTTCATCTTCGGAGTTGTTAGAGATGAAAACGGGAAGGGACCTTTGCTGTTCTGTGCCTTGGTCAGAGACTTGCTGCACAAGCTTAGATAACTTGCTTTCACCTCCCAAATGTGGCCAACAGGGAAACTAAGGCTTCGAAATACTTCTGTTTGGTGGTGATGTTGTCTAATGTTATATAACCTTCCATCAAAGAATTACAAGCGTTTTTAGGATTTCTTGGAATGTATTTTCTTGAAGATAAGATCACCTCTAGTCCTATCCCATTGTACCAAGCTTTTCTAGACAGATAAGCTTGTGAACTTATTCTGGCTGAAAGTTGTTCTGTAGTGAGCAGCATATTTGTGTCTGTCTTCTGTTTTAGAACATCCAAACTGCTGGCACAAAATGTGGCCATCTCTGGATGCTTATTTTGCAATCACCTGCTCTATTTCTCCAGTTGTAGTCAGCAGTATGTGGACCTTATTCATGCAATAATTGGATGAAATTGCAAAGGAACTCAAAGTTTAAAAAAAAAAATAAAATAGCACTGTTAAGTTCACAGTTAGGAAATAACGTATACTCCGTAACACTTTTATATAAAACCTACTGCCACAGGCTGCCTGTAGGTGTCAGTGCAACCTAGCTGCTTAGTTCTCTGGAATTGCAGCTTTGATATATTTCAAGTCCAGATCACACTGATTTTTACAGAAGAGCAAAGTACCAGTACTTGATATGTATTTCAGATGGAGTTGTAGATACTCAGTACTTCCAGGCAGCAAGATCTAGATGCACAGGACCCAGGAGAGCATTATAAGGCCAAATTGTAATGAGTAGCTAATGGGAGGGGTTATAACAATTCACTGTGCACTATCCATATCCTGTGTTGTTTTGTTCCTTCTAGATCATTATATTGAAGTCCTTGCATGCAAAGTGGAGTGTGAGAGTAATCTGACACCCATTATAGGAGGCTTTGTTGTCGAGAAATTTGTAGCCACCATGTACCATTACTTGCAGTTTGCTTATTATAAATGTAAGTAGTGATTTAATGTGCTTAAATAACATTGGGATGATGTGGGACAGTTTCCATTCATAATCCTTTCCCTCTAGTTATAATGCTTTAGAATGTAAATAGTGGCCTCCAGAATCTGCATTTTGACGTTCTGGGACAGAAAGTCTGAGCTGCTTGGCATCTTTTTCTCCTTGCATAGCTGTAGTTAACAGACCTGGGAGGTAAACATTATGTATAGAGCCTATGCTCATAAAATTGTCCGTGACAAAATAAATTGCTGAACACAAGCCCCGTAAAGGCTGGATTTTACCCAGGGCAGGTCCCTCTGTCTTGGTTGTGACTGATCTCCACTTGGGTGTTGGAAAAATGAGGTTGTTACAGAGCAAGTGTGATCCGATCCATCACCACCCTTTATTCTTTATGTGATACCTACTGCCAGCACAGGTTGCTTACACTTTTCAGAGTTTCATATAAATTATAAATGTTCATCATATGTATTTTAGATGTTTAAATGATACACCAAATCTTCTGCCTTTTTGAAGTAACTCTTAATATAACATGTTAGGGTAAACGGTGTCAGCCACTTCCTATAGACTGGAACACGTGCAATGACACAAACGCATTTTGTACACTTTTGTACAAAAAAACATGGTTTGTGCCAAAAAGCCATGGTGGTCAAGCTGTGAGGCCCACATGGTTGTTAAGCAGCTGAATGTATAGCTCTAACAAGAAGCTTTTTCTTAAACTTCTAACTAATTCAGTTAGAGAGAAGAAAGATTATAACTTCAAGGCAACATGTTTAACAGAATACCCCTTATTCTATTTAATAAATACCCAATTTTCAATTTACTGTTCAGTATTTCCTCCACAAACAAACCTACAGCATATTTCATACCATTCACTTTTTCCTAGTGGATTCTTATAATCCTGTTAGAATGGGGTACATGGGGCTAAATGGGTTTTGAAGAAAAGAGGGGACCACTTAACAGGAATTGTAGTGTTCTGGTGCTGTGATTACACATTTGATAGGTGAATCATTCAGTGAATTTTGTGGGTTTTTTGAGGAACTACTTGCACTGTAAAGAACACATGTAGCCCTTAACAGCTATTCCTGCAGGCTTCAACATCACAGGGAAGATACATCCAGCCATGTAGCATCAAGCCATTAATGACTTTTGCTTGTGTTGTTTGACAACATGTTTTACACATTAACTCTTCCCTGTTTGTCAATTCTAGTGCAAGGAAGTAGGGTTTTCTTAATTTTTTTTTTTTTTTTTTTTAATAAATGCCCCACTTGGCATCACAAGGCTGTGGGCTGATACATCACTGATATTGGGAGGCCTGGGAGGGACATTTGGTTAGGATTTTCCTAGAAAACCATCAGAGGTAAGTCCCCATTTTTGAATCATGGCCTTGCCTGTTTCAGAACACAAAAATAGCATATCCTTTCTGGGAAGCAACTTTTTTTTTTTTTTTCTGTGCAGCTGGTGAGGAGGTAGAAAATGGATCCTGTTGCCATCTGAGTTTTTCAGAGATTATATAATAGTAGGAATTTGTGCATTTACCTTATCTGGATTTTTTGTGTGTGTGTTTATTAATTAGTGAATGACATGAAGAATGCAGCTTCTTGTGCTGCTAGTTACCTTCTGTTTGACCAGAAAGATGAAGTAATGAAACAGAACATGGTATATTATCAGTACCACAAAGACAAATGGGGACTTAAAGAAGAGGATTTTCAGCCAAGATCGGTAGGTGAATTATTTAAAATGCCTTCTAGACAAATTCAGATATTTCCCTGAAACTCACTGGGTCACAGGTTGTGAAAATGGGGGTTGTCTATTGGTTCTGGAATTAAACACATACTGTTTTATTAAAACCATGTAGAAAGTTGTATACAGAGATGTACTATGTAACGTAGACAGTGAATGTCATTGCAGTTCTTTCCTTTGTGTTGAAATATACTACAGTAGGATATAATATGATATGATGACGAGTAAATTCATGCTGGTACTTGTCTGCCACTTCTGTATATTTATATCTTTATGGAGCAGCTGGCCCCGAAATCTCTTGATGAGAAGATCACTCCAGTGATATTCAGGCTTTTGTCAATCACTTATTATTTACCAACATGTAGTTGCTCACTTGCTTGTTATTTCAGCTTCTGTGTGCATTGGAATGTACCCAGATATGATAACCCCAGCTAAACTCACTTTCCATTTACTCCATTTAGAACATAGTTGGGTGGAAAAAGGTTCACGACCATATTGCACCTAATTATCTGAGTTAGAATACTAGCTGCGAAGGACCCACAGTAAACATCAGTCCATCCAGCAATGATTGTGATCTGGCTTTGAAAAATTACTCTAAAAATGAGTTTCTGTGCTGTTGTTAAATTTCCACGTCCAGGGAAATTTTACATATAAAAGCATCTTTGCTGTGTTTCTGGAGTCCTGCGGCCTGGACTCTGACAATCAAGTTGGATTTTCTGCCATTTCTTGTTACCAGGATTTATGTCATGCAACTGAAATAACTGCTTTGTGACACCTGAGTGACTCCTTAGGCATCAGTGGTATATGCTGTACACATAGTCATTAGCAATATGTGTTCCACAAATTAAATTTAGTGCCTTTTCTTTCGGCATGACTTCCATGTGGAAGAGTCATTTAAGTTAACCTAACTGAAGCAACAGCAGGCACCCCACAGGGTAACGTTCAACTGCCTTTCCCACGTTGCTTCATCAGACACCTCAGTCAGAGACCTGTACTGACCCAAAGGCATATACATCCCCTGATTCTTAATGCTGCATTAAGCTCAGTACATATATGTAGTGCTTAGGTGACTGGCTTTATCTGTAGCAACACTGCAGAGCAGTTAATGTAAGCATCTTATAGGTTGCACTGATAATTACAGTTTCTTTTCCTCTCAGGCCAGCCAGCTCAAGTCAAAAATATCACTCCATTTGAATTAAGTGTTTTTGGGTTGTGGACAGCTGTTGAGTTATGTGCAACACACCTTATCCGCACACTGGAAACCCAGGCCTGTCCTGCAGGACCAACTGAGACAGAAGACAGCGAAAATGCATTTGGTTCTTTCAGGCAGCAGCAGTGAGTCTGAGATCACAGGGGAAAGGGACCACTGCTTTGTCACTGCTTTTGGGAACAGAACTCTGCTTTGTAGCCATATTGGAGACAATGTGTGATGGTGGTGGGAGTGAGGGGTAGCAACAGTGTAAAACTGCAAGCCACAGACAGATTTGGCATACGTGTGCAGAGAGGACAGAACAAGGGCCCTACACATTAACTCTGAATGTTTCATTGATAACTTCTCAGGAGCTGGGGACTACAGATAATTTAATTTTTAAATATAGTATATTAAATGCACACAGCTGTATTTGCTTGTACTTTGATCCATGTAACTATGAACAGAAGTTGCTTGCTGTCCTGATCACTTGCCCTGAAAACCATAATGCCTCTGGTTTATTTTCACACAGTGGTAATGGGATGACAGCAGCATTTGGCTCTGGCATGAAGCTTTAGATGCTCTTGTGAAAGAGGACGTCTCCTCTTTTCCTCCCCAAAAAGAGTTAAACGGGATAATCAAAGTAGATTACTGTTGGTATTCACAAATCTGAGAGTGGGTGACTGAGCTAAACAGTGCTGTCCAGGCAAACAGCTGAGGAAGTGAGGAGGGACAGGTGGGTGACCGTGCAGAATTTCCCTAGCCCAGACTCAGGCTGGGGTGGTGAGTCATTATCATGCAAAATAGCTTAGTGTCTCTTTTTCCCAGAACTGCCTGCTGCCATGCGCCAGCACGCAGGGAGACAGAGGCTTTCTCACATCCAAAGCCCGCTGGAATGCAGGCACAGGCTGCTGCTCAGCTCTGGCAGTCTCATTCCTTATTCTCAGACTCGCCAGTGCTTTGAAACATGAGAAAGAGGAAAGTGTTTTGTTATTCTCACACCAATGGAGCCTGTGCTTAGAAAGATCCACAGAAGAGATTGGAAACACTGCTTGCTGTTCTGCTGTTTCCTTTCTCAAACATTATAACCCGCCTTGGGATCTACCTTCTACTAAGTCTGGGTCTGACTTCCATGGAATAGCTTCAGGTGACATGTGATGACACTCTCGCTACCCTAAAGTAACATAGAAATTTTGTTTTTTGATAGGAGGCAGTTAGATACCACAACATAACCACACTCCAGTTGGAAATGTATGAATTCGCAAAGGAACATCTGATGGATGATGATGAGGTGAGTTTTCTAGAAAGGAAATCACGGTCAAAAAACCAGCAATCACATTGAAGTCAAGATGATACATAGATGGAATTCCAGGATTTAGCTAATATGGAAAAATCTTCTTGTAACCATGACCAATGTATAATAAATTTTTCTTTTGTAAATGGAATATAAGAAACAAACCCAAAGAACATCATGTACCATTTAAAAAAAATATGGCCAGTATTAACACAAAAGTAAATATAACACACTGAGCCCACAAAAAAAGAAAATTCACCTTGCAAGCTATAACACCAGGGGGCAGAGAAGTAGTATATATATTTAAGCCCAACATTTTTCTGGTTTCTGGGGTTTTTTTTCTGAAATGTTGTTTAAATTAGATTTAAAGATCCTTATAATTTGGTCCAGAAGTAACCACCTAAATTGTAATTTTTGTCAAAAGGAAGTCTTGTTATCTGTTTGGGTTTTTTCTGCACAGTAACATTTTGGTCACCCAGTCTTGCTGCTTAAGTGGTTGGAATTCATGGCCAAATAACATATAATGACTACTATTAGACTGGAAATATGTAAAGTGGATTTTTTGTGCAAGAAAAGTAGTTACAGGGCATTTCTTTGTCTCCCACAGCTGAAATTAAAGTATAAATTGTGGAGGCTTTGGATTGCCTTTTGTTTAGCTTTGTTTTCAGAACCTTTCATTTAAAGGTTTCAAAAATCTTCAAATGATGGAATAGTTCATTGCTGGCATTGGCAAAAAGCTATGTTCATTTATGGCATTGGGTAGGGTACTTGTAGTGAGCACTGCTGAGGTCTTTTCTAGTTAGAAAAGAGAAAGATGGCTTATGTTAAAAAATGAAATCACCTTTGCAGTTTTTATGTTATCCAGCACATATGGAGAGATAATATTTTATAGTGGAGAAGTAATAACACGTCTGTGCTGTCTTCAGTATGCTAGTGACCTGAAAATAACTCTATACATAAAATTCCATTGCAAGGTGACCAGACTTTAGGAAGACTTTCCATTGTGATAAAACTCTGTGAAAGACAGTTTGATAAACTTGTTACACAGTTAAGTTTAGATGAGGACCTGTCTGTATGGATTTTCATCAGGGTGTGAAATACTTGAGCACTTTTTCATATTCCCTTGATGATTTGTGCTTGTTGTGGTTTAACCCCAGCCGGCAGCTAAGCTGCACACGCTGCTCACTCACTAACCCCCAGTGGGATGGGGGAGAGCATTGGAACAGTAACAGTGAGAAGACTCATGGGTTGAGATGAAGACAGTTTAATAGGTAAAGGAAAAGCCGCATGCACAAACAAAGCAAAACATTCACCGCGTCCCATGGGCAGGCAGGTGTTCAGCCATCCCCAGGAAAGCAGGGCTCCATCACACGTAACGGTGACTTGGGAAGACAAGCGCCATCACTGTGAACGTCCCCTCCTTCCTTCCTCTTCCCCCAGCTTTATATACTGAGCATGGCGTCATATGGTATGGGCTATCCCTTTGGTCAGTTGGGGGTCAGCTGTCCCAACTGTGTCCCCTCCCAACTCCTTCTGCACCCCCAGCCTACTCGCTGGTGGGGTGGTGTGAGGAGCAGAAAAGGCCTTGGCTCTGTGTAAGCACTGCTCAACAGTAACGAAAACATCTCTGTGTTATCAGCACTGTTGCCAGCACAAATCCAAAGCACAGCCCTGTACCAGCTACTATGAAAAAAAATTAACTCTGTGCCAGCCAAAACCAGCACAGTGCTTTGCCCATAATGCTTTCTTATGTTAGGCATAAACTTAATTTGTAATTTTTTCCTTCTTTCACATCTGCTGCTTCAAAACACAGAGATGAGTAATTAAGGAAGGGAAGACGCAGTCTGTTGTGAGGGCTTTCCCCATATGTTGTTACAAGAAGGGATTACAGAAACAATTTTCAGCCTCAAGCACTGTGTATAGAATAAACAAGCATTCATTTGCTGGCATTCATTCCTGTAGCCCATTTCATCAGTGCAATTATAAATGACCTCACAATTGGCAGGAGGGAAGTACAGTGGAAACGCCAGTTAAACTTTTAGGGAAGCGTCAAGGAAGTCGCATTACAATGGATTATTATATGTTTCAGTTGAACAACCAAAATTACTGGGCCTGGTCATGCCACAGCTATCCCTACCCCACGGTCTCATCGTGTTAGGACAGTTACCATTCTCCTCTCCCAGGGAAAAGCTGAATGGCCTCTGTGCTCTCCCTTACTAGGGCTGAAGAACCTGGGAGGGATAGAGGCTGTCCATGCTTCTGGCTTGGCTCTGGCTTGTGGTAGTGAACTCATAAATCCCTGGCTACCAGAACTTGTCTTTGGCTGCAAGAGCCTTCCAGGGAGTCCAGAGCACAAAGGTAAAATCGCTACCTTGCAGTTTCTGCTATATGGGCAGGACCTAGTGTAAGTGGAATTTTTTATTATTTTTTTTTTAATATTTCTCCTGGCATTGATAGAAAAGTTTATTCTATAGGAATGCTGAAAACTGATGAAAAATCCAGATAAGGTGTTACAGTAAAAGCTTTATTAAAAATTGTTAAGGATGGAGGCAACCTCTCCTTTTAGTGCACTCCATTTTTTTAAACCATGTGCTTCTTGGGCCATAGGCCATACCTTTTGTGAGTTTTTGTGGTCCATGTTTGCTGTCTGTGAAGTTGCTTGTGGGCCAACAAGGCCATAAAATAATCTGCAAAAAAGAATCACTCTGAGTGAAGTAAAAGGATTGATGTGGCAAAAGGATCTCTTCCTATGTGAATATGTCATTATTACCAAGTGGAGAATCTCACTTTATTCAGACTTCTCAGTGCTCCCATATCCCAGATCATCCGTGTGTCTTTTTAAATCCCATTAGCAAAGCAAGTGAGAACATGTGGCTTCTTCCAATAATACATTGCAGTAATTGCAGAGGCTGGAACATGCAGTAATGATTTTTGCATATGTCACTACAAGAAATACTGTCCTGTCCGTGTTACTTTATTAATGTTTTTCCACAAGGAAATGAAAAACTGTAGTTCAAACATTTAACACAGTAGAGGTGACAGAGAATATTAGCGCCAACTAGCTACAACTTACTTTTTCTTAAAAGTAATTACTATTAAATATCCTTACAGTTTTCCACAGTGAAGTTAAAAGGCCATTACACAGTGTTGTCATCTTAGTTGGCCATGGATAGTCAAGCTTTTTGATTTCTGTTCAGATGTGTAATGCATAAAGGCTATAATAGATACAACTCCTAGTATTGCACAGATTTAAATAGCAAACTTAAATGCCATTAAGAGCCAGATACTCAGCTAGTGTAGATATAACTTCGGCACTACGCTAATTGTATAAGACATGTTTCTGGCCCATAAAATCAGTGTTCTTGAGGAATTTTTTTTGAGGGATAGCTACTTAGCTGTTCTAAATTACATAAAAACCACAAGTATTTGGCTGGAATGATCCTACAATGTGATTTTTCTTTCAGTACTTAATCAGTAGGTGAAAAACTGTTGGCTGCTTTGACCCACTTTTTTGGCATCTTGTTGTTTTTATTTGTATATAATGTATGTGTCCGTTTGTACAGAAGCTGAAATTCAAATGCTCCATTCCTAAGTGATGCAAAGGAGAGTAAGTGTTGAACTAATGCGACCGGTGGAAAGGGAACATAAGGAATAGCATCAAAGTACAAGGGCCCAGTGGACTACTGATAGCACATAATAATCTGAATTCAGCCTATTTTTCTGTTCAGCAACATATTTTCAGCTTTATTAACTCACTTTGTGCATACGTTCAAATGATTTATACAAATGCGCTCGTAAGGGCAAGTTGTAAATACAGAGCTATGAACCCTGCACTGCCTATGACCTCAGACCAACACAGCTACAATAACACCGCTACACGGAGAAGAGCTGGTGGCAGCTGTTTCAGGGAGAGTTGGCAGCTAATTGGCATTGTTATGGTCCCTGTTCAACATACACTTCTTTAAATTAAAAAGAAAAGATTTTTTTCATCATCATTTCCTAGTGGAGATACTGCTCACGTGGCTGGCTCTCCAGAAGCTTCCTGCTTTCCCCTCTTGCTTCTTTACTGTTGGATGTGTATCTTGGGCAAAGGTGTTCCTCCTTCCGTGGGAAGCTGCAGGCACGGTTGGGCTTAAATGGCAGGATGTCCCCAAGCTGCAGGTACTGACATTAAGAGGAATTTTTACCTGCCCAGATTTTCTTAAGCTTCTGCATGCAGCATAAGGCAGCCAAGAGAGCATAAGCAGAGTTGAGAAACAAAGCCACTAGAAGGCTTCTGTTTTCTGTGGAATTGGAGCAATGTTGAAGTTGCTCTGAAACTGGTTTGACTCATGTTTTATAGGCATTATAAAAATGTTAAGAGAAAAGCACATTTATTGGATTACTGTAAAATACTATTGTAATAACTGCAGTGTACTGCAATCTCCCATAGTATATGGGAAGAGAACAGTTACATGTTCAGAATATATCATTAAAAATGAAATGGAAAAATATTTGAGAAAAGAAGTTAACTTACATGTAAAGAACAACTAAGCTCTTTTAATATTAAAAAAAAACCCCTACAAGCATGGGTCACACTGTGGACTAAGTATCTGAAAAATAAACAAGTTAAGGGTCAAATAATTTTTCTGCACAAAGAATTGCGGGATTTTTTTTTCCCCTGCAAGAATGCGAGGAATGTCCAGCCTGGTCTGTAGTGCTCGTGGAGGATCTGGGAGGGCTTTGAGGTGGTTACAGTGAACTCGTGTGTTTTAACTGAAGGGTAGATCAAGGAACTTTTTCTTGGTTGAAGGCTGAATAAACCTTTCAGGCTGAGCCACTCATTGACACATGCCTTACTGTTATCCTGAAATAATGTCGTTCTTCCCCAAAATATCACTGGCCAGTGAGCTGTGTGGTGTGCGCTTGCAGGCTCTATCGGGCCTGTGGAGCACGTATCCTCCACAGTAGGCCATATCAAACCTTTGTCTTCTCTCTTGCAAGTTGGTTATTTGACC